TAATATTTGTAAAAACTGAAACTGATGGAACTGTGTACCGCATACTATCAGATGGTCGATGGCAAAGCACCTAACTTTTTAGCACCCGTGAATGAACGTTATAATCAGCTATTTATTTGTACTACCAGTCGAACCCAGTGTGTAATGATCCTATGGGATGCGATAAGCATCCGCTTTGTAATTTACCCATAATACAAATTTGAATTTGAGCATGACTGGCCGCTTAAATACTGCTATACTATATACCATACTCTATATATGCTATACCATATTGATGATGCAGCGGCCTTGTGGCAAACCATATATATATATATATATACATGACATTTAACTGACAACGGTCTTCGAACGCGCCGATAATGCGATTAACCGCCATCCGCGCTGTTATGCTTGTAATTTAATTTTTTTCATTTTTGTCCATGATTGTCGAGAGGACTGTTCTCCAAGACATGCATATGCATATTTTCACTTCTCTGATATAGATAGATTATCATTATTCCTCTGAATGGTTTACGCATGTTAACTCGTGTATACTCCTAGCAAAAACGAAATATTTTCACTGGCGGTGTTTCTTCTCAAATCACTCTTCTTACTCTTGCTGCTAAGTATTAGCCTGACACATACGTTCGGAAACCATTTATAATTTAAAAGACAAACTTTGTTTGTCGTAAGGTTAACAAATCTTCCCACTGTCCTCCGGGTAGGCACTAGCGCTGGCCCGTTGTGAAATCAATTTCGATTCTCCATCCTATTCCTGGTTATCAATTGCGGCGATGTGATTCTCGATGTCTTGCAAACTGCTGAAGTATTTGTCTCCCGTTTTACTTTCAATTCTAACACAACTCGATCCACTATTACCGCACACCCCACCTACCATGGTCCCACGTTTTATCTGAAGATGTACATGGGGTACATTAGCCTCGTAGTACATTTGTCATGACATCCTGCCATTTTGGATTAGAACTTGTACTCCTGAGCTTGCACCCACCCCCAATGTTTTCTCAATCACTTGCCCAGAGTGTGCTATATTTGTTGGGATACTGTTAACGTTTTTCCCGTTTCAAAGTTATACGTCTCCTCTTGTGATCCAAATAATTACAGCCCCGTCACTCTTTGCCCATACCAGCCTAACATACTCAAACTAGTGGTTGCAAAATCCTTCACCGTCACCCAGGCTTATCCAGTTGACGATTAGCTAGCAATAAGTCGATAACTATGATTGTCGATGAAGTTAAAATCCACAACAATATCTTGTCGCTCACGGCTACTCATGAGTAACTTTGGAGAAAAGTTGAAATTATTGAGCATCATTTCCCACCATGAATGGGTTCACGAAAAACTACCGATAATATGTAAAATACTATATCTTCGGCAAGTGCAATTGCACATTGTTTGTCCTCAATAAGGAATAACATTAACTGTATGCAGAAATCACACAGGAGGGTTGGTTTGAAAAAAATGGCCCGGAGGGGAGGGGACTTTAACATTGTTTCAATTACAATGGTCATCATCTGTTTTGCTAACACCACAACAGGCGAAACACATGTGTTCAACACACTTGGTGACCGATACGCTTTTATACAGACTAAAATTGGTTCCGACAATATTATAATCCTTCAAGGCTGGCTCTAACTAGGCCTCTCACAGCGAATTTGATAATGTAGGTTGTATCGGTTCAGGGGAACAGATTCCCATATGTCATTACATTAGGCAAAAGATAACCCGAGAAATCAGTAAGATGAAGGTGAAAGAAAACCCTGGATAATAAAAAAAATCATCAGACCAAATCTCGATTGCCGGTGAACTGCTTCTTGAAGTGAAATACCGCGTTGGCTGTGTTTATCACCCACAAATAGCTGTCGTTAGCTCCGTCATGATCATATTTGTTTGGGTCATTTTACTTCTGATCTGGTGTGCATTTCTTAACAGGGCTAATCTCGTATAATAGAAGGAAATTCCTCAACTCATTAAGAGATAAAAACTCACAAAATAGCGATAAAACCAAACATGAATGAACCATCCTTCATTTTATGCCCTTTTTGATTTTATTAGTATTATAAATTGCAAAATCCACACTGCTCGTATAGATACAAAGTTATCCAAGGTATATATTGAAACTGACAGTGTTTAAGTGGCATAAATTTTGGTTTCTCGTTCACTTTTGGATAGTCCTCGTGTTTAGAAAAATCAGCAATCGAAAACCTTGGAATATGACGGCCGAGGTGTTTTCCAAATGTTGCATTTTATTGGTTTTATAAGGAGAAAATTTTGTCTCTTTAAATCATATGTTGACGTCCTGATAGTCTTTTTGAAAAAATCAAACCACCGAGTCTGAGTTTCTATGGTTTGGTATTGCTAGTAGGATTGATAGTTCGACCAATAAATAACCCAGGTCAAGTGGTCTGATACAAATAGTCCACAAACCGGTGACATACTTTCAGTCGGATCAGATGCTCTTGGAAAGGTGTTCGCGAATCTATGCCGCCCGGTACACATTACCATCCAGTCTGAACGGCGGCCACCATATTGAGTTAATATTTTCTTCACAAGTGTTTGGAAATCAGTATATTTCGACTGTTTTGGACGAGCTCATCGAATATCGGCTTCTCGCTTCCGCACCCCCAAGAAAAAAGCAGCCCTTCAAAACGAAAGCTGTTAATGTGAGCGTACGTATTTTAAAACAAGCCGGCAATATGTAGCCGGTTCACTATAGGCTGGTCTCAACCACCCGGATGGACGTATCAACACAGAACTCACCTGATTATTTCAATGACACCCTCAGTATAGGTATTCAAGGGCAATAGTTGTTGGAAGTGAAATGGATGATTCTCCAATACGAGACAAGTGATACAGTGAAAATAGCCCAGAATCCATCTGGAAAAAATATTCATGCATAATAAACAGTAAAAATTGAGTACAAAAGACAAAACGGTAAAAAGGAAGTTACTTGTTAGCAGTTCTCAATCATTGTCATTTATTCGCATCATCATCCATAGTGCATAAAATGGAATCTGGGAATAGCGAATTCTAACCTTTAGTTGAAGACGAGGTAATACAGCCGGAACTAAACAGCAACTCAAATAAAAATGTGACAACTTTAAACAATAATCTCAATATGTAGCTAATTGTTTTTGATATCAATGTTTAATATAAGGAGTAAAACCAAGGTAGTTTGACCTGACGAGGTTGAGCACCAATGAAAATTGTCTACATTTGGTTATACAGAATAAGGTCACCTGGACACTGTTCGTAAGTGATACTGATATATAAACAGAGCCCCTGTGGATAGTCTTCTGTTGGTATGTGCAATTTACGTTATATCACTGAAGTGTGAGTTTAAATGCCGATTTATTCAGTCAATTACCTTTAAACTGATTGTGCGGTTTATAATCGGGTAAATGAAACACTTTCTCCTTCCAATTTTTACTACTCAAGTGGATAATTGGAAAGCTGTTTGACAACAATACCGTTCTTATTCAAAGGGTTCTGTGAGTTATGTGGCTCATTTTGTCATGTTTAGATGTATTCTAGTTATCTTTTTGTCAGGGGGAAGACCAGCTTTCTCCTGAGAATTCTCACGGTTTGAAGCTGACACGGTTGTGGATCAACCGCTACGGTGAGAATATGTCGACGTTTTCTCGAGGGTCCCGGATGCGTTGTCGTTAGGGTGACTAACAGAGAACGGCAGCCTGGTTTGTATTACCTCTCTGTTGGCGCACTCGTAACCCCAATCAAGGGTTGTGATCAACCCCATATGTGCACAGCACGTTTCTCCCTTTATTCATTCCACGTTTGTCTGGCACTACTACTTAAGACTTGCACTGTGGGCAACAATTTTTTAACTGAGATCGTTGGGATGCGATTCGTGGGATCGGGTTCAGTGAGAGTTTGGCGAGACACAACAATTTGAGAAACGGAAAGTGAAATTGACTCAAATAAAAAATATCCATATATCATTCAGATTAAATTCGGGGGCCAAGCAATCTTAATTTTGTGAAGTCAAATTACTTTATGGATAAACAAAAAATCGTTTGTGCACTCCAAGATTCGGTAATAAGAGAGGGAAGTCTACCATTAAAATCAAATGAGAGGTGGTCTACTGGTCTGCCGATTTCTAAATCAGTGCAAACCATATCGGACTCATAAAAAAACTCAGTAAAAGGAAGTACTGATGATAAATCCGCTTCATCAAACTTACCCACGATCTTGACTCAACAAAGGCGACGGTATAGTTTGAGATTCAGCCTCTTTTTCCAACCTTAAATGTAGTAAAACATTGGCTATCGATACAAATGGGTTACGGTACAATTAAGCGGATGAATTGATGTGCTATGTTAAGTAGCTCTTTTACGGAGTATACATATACTATAACCTGGAACAGAGAGTTGTAGCTGCTTCCACATCGTGCGTAGGTAAGTTGTCAGAGTCCTTATGAAAGGTTCGGATTTTATTCATTGTTGCTTTGTGGTTGCGTGACACAATGCATTCATTGAATTCTATTTTAACAGTAATATAATTTGATAATGCAATCAGCAAAAAGTTCTTCGCCGTTTCCTCACTGAAGATAGTAAAATGTAACCGTTGCATAATAGCTGCTGTAACGTGGTGAAATCGGCATTAAGTCTAACTAACGGAATGAGAAAAAAGCGAAGTCAGTACAGCCGAGGACACTGTGTGCAGTTATATAATGATTTGGTCAGTGATGAAAACAAGCCACTGAATGGTAAGGAACGTGATAAAAGAATAACCCAATCTAAACTAACATTCTCAACTTTTTACTTAGAAGACTGATTACTCGATCTTTGATGATGCCTATTTTTGCAGCTGGTTTCATGCTAAACGTGGTATTTCGCTCGATGATAAAAACATCACCTGACTAATTTAGCTCGAGACTCAGTCAGTGGTCATGCGGTGTGGTTAACCACACAGCATGACCACGTTGATAGACAACTGTGGATCGCCCAACATATGCATTTTGCGATATATATACAGTTAACGATTATAGATACCAAAGAAATTGATAATTATCAAGAAGGAAGTTTATGTTTGAAAGTCAGATGAGTCTAGTGGTGATCGAACGATGCAAGTATCAACGATTCCAACTTGGAAGAGGATTTAAAGTAACTATGACGTTTAAGAAATTTCAAATACCCCAGCATGGTTAGGACTAAGATTATTTACTGGGCATAAATATTAATCCAATCTAATTGGTGATTTATCGGAAAACGGTTGCCATTTTAGACAGAAATCCGGAAAGTACCGCTCTTAGCAGTAGCAGAAGCAACAACAACATTAACGACAACCTCTGATGGAATCTAACTACCAGCTAAATCAGCTCAGATGTTTATGGAACAGCAAAATATTTCCAGGAAAAAACTGAATAATTTCCAAGAAGATGTTAAAAGCAGCGATTCAGACGAACAAGGAATTTCTTTTAGTGTGCTAAAATGACATCACTATTCCTTATCGGAACTATACACCTACCAAGATTGTGTTGGAATAGATATTAGCACACATACTGTTTATTGAGTGATTCAAACCCAGAGGCGACTGCTTTTCAGTCAAACTTTACTGTTCAATAAAACGGAATTGGTTGGTTTTGCGTTAATATTGCTCATGTTAGGAAATGATTATCAACCGATTCCACTGAGGTATGCTAAAATGCTTCATCCTAAGACAAAGTTCTCAGATGATGAGCACTTACCGCAGGTGGTTGAGCGAATCTGTAAGTTGTTGGAAATGAACAAAACCCTCCTTGTCTCTGTCCAGCAATATGGTAATCAAATGAGTCTCCAGTTTATTAAATGGAAAATCCAAGCAGACGAGCGCTTTGTGAATGATAGGTCAGATTAGTCTCACAATTGTTCGCCCGATCGAAACGTACCGGCTTTAAAGTCGTCATATGTTACACAGTCCTGTGTGTAATTGGAGTGTAACTTGAGCAGATCGACGAGTTCGTCACGATACTTCGTTAACCACTTGTCTGCCGCACACATCAGTTCCTTATACTTTCCGGGAGTATTCAAATATTTATTGATACTCAATTCAAGTTTTGTCTTCGTACTTTTGGTTTCATGTGTAGAATTGCTTACCTTCTTTACTTTCTTTTTAGCCCCCTTTTTTCCAACTTTTTTCTTTCCACTTTTTATTTTTTTGTTGATTTTTTTGGGCATAGAATATCTAAGAGGGTGCAACAGAATTAACAGTTTCATGTTGAACATAAGTCTTTTTGTGTTTTTAAACACAAAATATTAGCAAACATTAATGTTCAGTCATTATGTACAATTTATGACAAAGTAATCACAAAACTTCATCTTCATGGAGCTTCAGGTTCAGCAAAGACGCGTGATTTGCTTGGCACACAATCTGGCCTCAGATGTATGTGAACTGTATATAATAATATACATAGGATGCATGTAGAAAAAAGAATAAATGAGAGCGAGGAAATATACGGTATAACGGCGCAGAAAATCATCTCTGCGAATGACATTACTCTATGTTACTCTTTATACCACCCCTCATCGTCGTACAAAACCTCTCGCAATCGACCGGTCTTGTGCACATCAGTAAACGCCAATCTTAATCTTATATTAGAGGTTTATCAAACATTCAAAATTTTCGAAGCTGATTGTTTTTCTGCCTCTCTTGTATATGATGTTTGTGCTGCCTCTAC